AATTTGACCTTTGGTCTTTGCCCAAGATTCTCGTCATTCACCTTAAGCGTTTCCGTACAATGTTCCGTATTAACAAAATCAACGAATTCGTCGATTGCCCATTAGAGTAAGTTCGCTTTCTGTTTGTTTTCTTGCCAATCTTCTACATGTTTTGCAGGCCTATTAATGAAGCCATTTATAACTACTTATTCTCGTCTATTTCAGAGGCCTCAAAATACGTAATTCGAGGAATCAAGAACATATTTATGACCTCGTTGCCGTCAGCAATCACATGGGTGGACTGGGGGGTGGACACTACACTGCTTATGCTAAGAACCGAGACGACAACCGCTGGTACAATTTCGATGATTCTTTTACGTGTCACCTCTCAAGAAGTCCTATAGTACGTCCGTCACATTTTGATGCATGCTGTTCTGTTGAATGGAAATGCATTTTCAATAATTCCACTGTAGGCCCTTAAACTCTGCAACTAGTTGATAAAGTAGAATGTTAAACCCAACTTTCATTTTGACCGTCCTCTGTATGTGAAAATTGTTGTTGTTGGCCTATCCGACCATTTCAATTCTATTCTTCCACACTTACATAAGGAAAGTCATTTTGCGCTTTCTTTTTCAGTGCAAAACCAAAACCATGTGGTATTGGACGTGCTTATTTGTGGTGTGTATATGTGTGTTGATGGAAAATTGTGTGATGTTGTGGCCTAGTGTGCAGTGTCTTACGACAGGTTCTCGTGAAGACTGCTCCTGGCACTGGTTCGCTAGTCACAGTACAGTAGATTCGTAAATGATCGATCGAGCCAATGCGTAGGGTAAATGTGCAATCGCATTGAGCGCAGAATGGGGTCGAACCCATATTGGGGGAGGGGCTGGTGAGCGTAGTGATTGACTGAACGTCGGGAGTATTCTCGCCGATGGAAGTGACGGTGATTACCAGCGATAGAACATCGAGCGTGTGGTCTCCTGTGCCGAGTGTGGTCGAGGTCGTGGAGATTGGAGCAGGGGTGACAATTGGGGCCCTTTTTGGAGGCAATAGCCGAGATTGCCCAGTGATTGATGCGTTGGAGCCGAATATGCTCCAGGCCAATCGGTCCTGAGCAAGGTCCTCCCAGGTCTCTGGATTTATTTGCGGTCGCTTCAGAACATCTTTAAACGTGCCCCTGTAATATCGATTTTATCCTTG